GGGAAAGAGCCACCCTTGCAGTCCCTGTCAAAGGCAAACACAGTGACACGAAGCAGGGGTAGAGCAGGGTGTCTGAGGCAGACAAGGCTACTTAGAAAGGAACTTCAAGCACATCAACAGGCAACTCCATCACACTTCCAAGCAACTCCGGGTCTGAGCCCATCCACAGATCAACAGCAGAAGTGTGCTAGGTCCAAAGCTGCTCAGGGTTTTACATTTGGAAACCTCAGGCCCCCAGGTGCTATTACAAAACTCATGCACAAATCTTAGTCATGAAGACTACAAATTATCTAAAGCCTGATTTTCTCCTTAATGCAGGAGGGGAAATGAGCCTGTATCTTTTGCCCCCCCACCCCGTCGATCTGGAGGCAGAAGAGCAATTGAGAATGCAACAGAAGGAGCCGAAGAAGTCGATGCACGAGATGGAGATATCAATGGAACAAAAGCCAGTGAATAAACAACACGCTTAAAAATTGCACTGCAGCAAGGGGAGGGAGGATGGTATTTAGCACTGTATAAGTCTACTCTTACTGTCAAGATCACATACACCCACTCCTCTGATGATAAAAGCACAGCTGCCTTCTCTCCAGTGTATAGATTGAAGTACTGCAAAAACTTTTTTTTCCATGAAGTGTATTTTAAAAGTTTTTTTTTTTTTTTTTTTTTTTTTTTTTTGAGTTCAGATGAATTCACTTTGAGGAATTTCCACAAAGCAAACTCTAGTAGCTCAACTTAAATCCCAGTGAACTGCAGTTTACACAGATTTGTGAGACTGCTGCAGGAAAGAGACAATCGTCAGCTTTTCTTAAATCTGTCTACCTTTCATTTTGTCTTGAGTATTTGATTAATATATGGGTTTTCTTTCCTGGTTACTACACCCCTGATGCACCATTCACAAGGTGGAAGTGCCTTTTTAATCACTTATTGAAAAATAAAATATCATTTGTTCAAATTAAGTCAACTGTTACAGTTTTATATGCACCATGGATGTGCTTACACACAATAAAAGGCTATAAAAACCACTCGAGTTTCCTTTTGTGCAGGAGTCATGGGGGTGCAAGGCAGCACGCTGGAAGATACTGGGAGATGCAACAGAGCTTCGTTACAACTCAGATACCTTTCCCAAAAGATGAACTGCAGTCACTGGAATGAAAGATTGATTTTTCTTAAAGCAAAGGATTGTGAAGGAAAGCAGCCTGGCCCAGAGCCCACCTCAGGGACACAGTGATCTCTAAGATATCCTAGGGCGCATCTAAGGGCTGGTGAACATGACACAGGAGCTGCAAGAGACCTGCACTCTTCTGGTGCTGCAGCTAGAAAGCAGACAGGGCCATAATAGCCTATGTCTAGGCACTGACCCAACCCCTGAAGTCCGTATCTGTAGGGATAGTTCCAACTGAAGCCTCTAAGGCAGGGGGCAAACAATGAGAAAGAACAACCCACACTGAATGCAGGATCTAAGCCAAGCTATTCTGTATCCACTAGACTGCAGCCCAGTCCCAGGACCTATCAAGAACTATCCAGATTGTGGCAGCTCTAGTACTTCCAGAGAACAGCTGGCTTTGCAGAGAGAGGCAGCAGAGAACCAGACATAGAAAAAGCACGAAAAAGCACGTGTGAAGCTACTCTGAATTGACTAACTTTCTAAAACTACTCATACAGCTGTAGGTGAATGCAGTATAACTATCAGAAGAGTAAGTCATACTGAATCATTCACCTTGACAGCTAATGTGATCATCTGTTAAATCTAAACATTGTCCCTAACAGCACTGAACTTAGCTTCAAATTAGGCACAATTAGGCAGAACTAGAGGCAGAAGACTTGTCTCCTCAGAAGAGAGAAGAGTTTAACTAAGAAACCATTTATAGTCATTAAGTTTACAAACTAGCAAGGAGGGATATGAGGAGTTAGCAGAACAGCGCACATAGCTGAGTTCATTGCTTGATCAGCCACAGAGCCCAGTGCTGTAGAAATGCTTAAGAGCAGGTTGTTAAGCACATCACTATATGCATGGAAAGAAAATGAAGTGAGACTTCATGGAGCATGGTCTTAAACAGCAATGCTTAACGCAGAAGCAACAAACAAACACAGAACTCTTCTAGTGGGAACACATTTGAAAAATTCACTTGCACACACGCAGCAGTAGAGATTGGTTCATTGGTTACAACAGCACCCCTGCAGGCTCCAGTCAGGGTTCTGCGAAGCCTGTGACAGAATCAGGAATCAGAGCACTTCTTTAATAAAACCACCACAGAAAGCATCTTTTTGCAATAGGGGCCTAGCCAAAGTTCCTGAATCACAGAAGGGTTGAGGCTGGGACATCATCTTTTCCCTTCTCCAAGATGAAGAGCCCCAGCTCTCTCAGTCTTTTCGCTTAATAGAGTTGTTCAGTTTCTTAATCATCTTATGAGTCCTAAAATAGCTATTAGTAGTCCTCTCCCAGAAGAAGCCCTGCTACAGAGGTGACTATTCTGGACTAAATAGTTTTGAAAATTTCTCAATGGCGCATCAGCCAATAGTCTGTCTGGCTGTATCTGTAGTTACATTAACACAATCTCTAATATACTAACAACTTATCTATAGTACATCTACATCAAATATCTCTAGTAGTCACTTTAAATTGACAGCTGGGGCTCTAGCATGACCCCAACTCTCTACCTTATCTGAGTGGTGACTCCCAACCTTGCTGCAAGCCACCTTTCACACCAAGCAGGCAAATTCTGGCAATATCATATGGAAAATGCAACTTGTCCTGAGTCATCCCTCCAGGCTACACAGGGCACTGAGTTGGAGTCCACATGTAAGTACAAATGACAGAGCAGTCCATGCACTTCAGTTCCTCCCTATGTGACAGGAGAGTAAAAAGTCATGTTAAAACATATTACAGTATTAAAACAGACTACTGAGCTAAGATTATAAGAAAGCACAATGTCAATAGCAAGCAGTATAAATCCCAGGGGCATCTTTAACTATAGCATTATGTACATCCTCAACGTCAGAAACCAGGTGAGCAAGAAAAAGATACAGAAAGATCTTTGCATGTTGGCTCAGCAAGCAAGGTCTCCTCAGGCTTCACTGAGGAGAAACACCTGAAATACTGGCAGCAAACATCTGTGCATAAATCACAATGAAAAACTGAATAAAATGAACCAACAATTAGCATTCAAAATAAGCTTTATTCTACTTCCCAAGGAAGCCAGCTTTGTAGATGGTATGAAGAATGGGAATGATTTGTGGTTATTTACTCTTCCAGAGAAATAGATGCATCAGTGGTTGTTTTCACAGCATTTTCTTTTAAAAAAATATTTATGCATTCTTTTGTTGTATAAGCTCCCCCCCACCAAAACCAAACTAAAACAACAACAACAACAACAAAGTTTGGCCATGATTAAGTACCAGCTTCTGCAACACATATTAATACCATGAGTGAACCCATTCCATTTAAAGAAAAAAAGATAAACAAGACAAAATGCAGCACTTTCTGGTAGGGAAGAGTTCTAATTTTAAAATAATTCAGTATTCTGATACCTTCAGTAAACAAATGACTTTTCAGGTTAAAGAGTCCTTTCTATTCATTAGTAACAGCTGAAAATATATACGCATATAGAAAAAATAAAACAAAAATAAAACTAAAAAGCCTCTCAAACAACCAAGGCACATTAAAAAAAAGGAAGTTTGAAAGTAATATACTCATCTATTAAAATGTTAGAACTAGCAAGTCGATCAGTCTCTTGCGTCCTACAACAGCCAGGGTTTGTACACTGCAGAATGAGTTGTCTTTATGTTAAGCCAGTGCAAAGTCTCATGCTTTACAGTATGCCTGGGATCTCGCGCATACTCCAAGCATTAGACCTATTCTAATTGCAAATCATTGCTTACAAAACTTTATTCCTAGAGAGACAGGAATTCCTGCAGGACAACAAACATCCTGCAAAGAGCTGAGCAGCTTCCCTACAGAAATCTCAGGATTCTCAGGGTATATAGAAATTATATTATATATAACAAATCTCCTCTAATCTGGGTGACTGAGGCCTACAACACCCAAGCTAGAAAGCCAGCACAACTAGAATTCACACTTGAACATCATGGTGCTGTATTAAAAGCAAAAGCCTGAGGACCTGCACAGGGAATACTGCCTCTGCCATAGGCGCAGGGGCACTGGCTTTGACAGTGTCAGAAGTGACCTTCAAGGAGCTATTTATAGCAATTGACATCGGAAGCGATTTCAAGTACTGCGCTGGCAGGCAGCGCTGCTTCATCACACTAGGCACACAGCTCAGCTGAGAGGCCGCACTGGCCATGAGCACAGGAGACCAGTGCCAGTTGTAGCTTCTTGTTCAGTTCTCACCTACCCTTAAGTTGATGCCTGGTTGCTTGTTAGTATTCTCTTTAAAACTAAAGTTTAAAATACATATATATATTCTTTTCCTAAGCCAGTCTTTTCACAGCAGCATCTTGACAACACCTTGTGAGGGATGGCCCATTGACCCTGAAATATTTGAAGGCCGTGTTCCAAACTCCAGGCGTTTCACTAACCTGCAAATACAAGACAGAGCAATTAGTGCATTTGCTGTTCAGTTTTTACAACTTTTTCAGATTAACTGGTCACTTCTAAAGAAATCTACTACGGATGAGAAATCAACAAATAAGAAAACACTATTTTGAAGATTTAATACTAAACAGAACCTTACTAGCCACAGGGTTCTCACTAAGAAGCAACAGCAGATCAGCACTAACCCTGTATCACACAGAGGCTGGTGAGGACTCAGGCGCGTTTCAAGGACATCTCTGTTCATGTACATGGACACCGTGGTTCTGTTTGGGGACTGGTCATACACAAAGTTCCTGCAAGATGCAAGTTTGGACTCCAAAGCCTAAAGCAAACACAGATGATACAAGTATCAGGTAGCATGTGATCACATCTGCCTCTCAAGACACCAAAATGACATCCAGGGCACAGTCTTTTGTTAGACAAGCTGTCTAGTGCAGGAATCTTGCTGACAAGTATTAGGTAATGTCTGAGGGAACTGAGCCACTGATACCCTCTTCTCCACTGGATGCTCCCATCTTAGATAACCCCCGCTTTGTTGTGGGTTATCTTTCAGCTCTATCACTTCTGCAGTTCAGCACAAAGAGTTATACAAATGCTTGAGCCAAAAAAAAAGTACAGGGGTTATGGAGATGACAAAGAACACATGGATAACACTCTCAGCAGCACCACTGCCTTAAGTGTCAAGCCACAGCCTAACATGGCATTAGACTCTGCTGAAAACATTACTGGGCAGACCCGCTCGCATCCCCCACTGGGCAGCAGGCAACAGTTTTTCTCTGCCCTCCATATTTACTTGGAGGTGGTCAGAAACACAAAAAGCCCGTGCCAAGTTTCAAGACATGTTTGGTCAACACAGAGGCTGAGCTATTCTTTCAGTTCTCCCCTGAGCAACAGGGCAGAGGGTCAGCTCTGGCTGCTGTCTCAGACAGCTCTGCCTTTCCCAGGACACTGGCTAAGAGCCAATCACTCACCCCTACTTTCCGCAGCAAGTCTCCCACGATGTTAAGTGCAGATATTCTGGCAGCAGGTGTAAGAGGGGTTGTACTGTAACTGTCCTCAAAACCTGCAGGGCAGGTTAAAGAATAAAACATTACCCCCTGCGAAAAAAAAGCTTTGACACTGGAGGACAGAAGAGAGCCTGATACTGATGTTTCCTGCACTCTGTATTTCACCTTTTCCAATCTGACCTTCAGATATTCCTCATCCATTAAAAATATGAAGCTCTGCCACACTGACAGGGCTCAGATTACACTGTTGTAAGCTAAAGCCTCCAGATATACTGTGGCTTAGGTTTCTAGAGATGTCTACTAGCATCCACCCTGCTTCTCTCTTGCTGCAGTGAGACCAGAGGAGATGTGTTCTTAGAAAAGATCTTCATCTCATTTTGCTAGAATTTCTGAATCCTGTTTTTTATAGAAGCATGAGTAAGTGAAACTTAATTTTAGGTTGATAGTACCTAACCTGACAATCAGCTTTTGTTAGTAATCAGAGCTAAAATATCACATCAGTGTATGACAGTGGAAGAAACTCTCCACATTTACTGTCCTTGTACGTATGAAGATAGTTAATCACTTTTCTGAGCCAAATTTCTAGTTTTTTAGATAAAAAGATGGAGAGCTAGTATTGGACACTGGAATATATAAATACATGCTCATAAACAGGTTATTACTGGCATGAAAGCAAAGATGAAGTAATTCAGCAGACAGCTAAAATGATTTACTCTGCTATTGCAGAGTTAAAGAAAAAAAAAAAAAAAAGAGAGAAAAAAAATGTCTGACTACTACACCACTGAGAAGCCAATTCATAACAAAGGTGTGGCATCCAAGATCACACTGAATTTTCAAAAAAATCTTCTCCTAAATTAGCCCAACATATCTGGGACAATTATGAAGTGATAACTAAAAATCAAGAGCTTATCTTGTGAATTATCTAGTAATAATTATCGTGAGGGACACGAGCGGAAATTAACAGTCTACAAATAAACACACAAAATACCATCTGTGAATACCAAGATCACAATGAAATATGCATCTCGGTGCCTTTTTTCTCTCACTCTTCCTGCAGCAAGAAAAAATGTGGTGAAAACAAGTGTATAAAATATTTGTGTTGGTCCCCTGTCAGTCACCTCTCCTAAATGTCCCAGGAGTGGATATGTTCATGTTGGGTGCCCGGTGTACCGAAGGAGTTGAAGGCACAGATAAGGAAGCTTGCACTGCTGTGTCTGTTCTTTCTGTTTCCACAGTAGCTCGCATCGGTGTTTTGGGTTTCTCCTGTTTCTGCTGCACAGCAAGCTCTTGTCGTAGATCTACGAGAGAAGCAACACACACACACAAAAAAATCTCTGGAATATGTAAACATCATGATAAATGCAAGTGAAACAGTTCGTTTCAGCTACAGATTGGGAGAAAGTGAGAGAGAACATCAATCCTAGCCAACCTCTAGCTTCATCTTTCAAACGCTGCACAGACTCCAGAAGATTCTCCTTCTCATCCAGCTCACTCTCCAGAAAAGCATTTCTTTCAATAGCCTGGTTTAGACGCTGTTCAAAATCCTCCAAAGACATTATAGTGGCTCTGAAAGAGAGTGTACAAGTTGACACTACCATATCTTTTAAACACAATCAAGGACTGCTTGTCCTGCAAGAGAAAGCAGGATGTTTTGTATTTTTGCTTCCAAGATATGAAAGGGAAGAAGTGCTTGGGGAGGAAAGAGGGAGGTGTCACATTTCTCATGTGCCACAAATGTCACCATTAAAATCACTACAGAGTGATTAGTTTAGAATGGCAGCACTAATAAGCACCACCAACAACTCAGGGTCACCCAGCTCAGAAGACAAGACAAAGCTGGAGAGAGGAGAAAAAAGCAAAACAAACCAAAGTCACCTTTTTGCTCTTTCCAAGTCATCATTGGCTTGTTCAAGTTCTCGAATATATTTCTGAAGTTGATCTTTAATAGCTTTTGTCTGTGCCAAGTCCTCTTCCAGAGCAGAGATTTGCCTGTATCCTTCTGAATGCTGCATTTCAATCTTTTCCTAAAGAATAGCAAACCAAACAGCATATCAGGGACACAGCAATGCACATTCACTCCTTTCTTTGGTTTTGACTTAGCCCCCCTAAAGAGAGGGGGCGGTTCTGTAAGATTTTTAACATTTTACTATTTATAAGGTGATGTTTCTTAAGGCCAATTGCTCCCCTACCTTTGGGCTGCCAGTAGGTAAGATCTCTTCCTATCACTCCTTATCATTAGATGGTGCTGGGGAGCAATTTCCAGCCTCCACAGCACAAGGATGTTCCTTTCTCTCCCAGACAATTCTCCCCTGTGCTTCCCCATTTCCCCTCTACCTGCAAAGGTACAAGAAATATCTGCATACAGAGAGCTTTGAGCCTTTCTCCACAGGAAAGGATGAAACTATTGCAGCCGTCTTGTTCACACACACAACATTCCTTACTCAAAGGCAAGACGAAGAAAAGAGCATGCCCAGAACCTACCCAGCACAAGCAGGTGACCAAGCATGCAACAGGGACAGAGCTCTAGAGCTCTCACATCAGCATAAAATTTGCGTGGAAAGGAAAAAAACGGAGACAACTGGATGGAGAAATGCTACATTACTGCTGTACAGTGCAGATAGCAAGGCCCAACAACCAGCATCCCAATTTCAAAAAAAAAAAAAATCATCCAGCACTGCCACAAAAAATGCACAGAAAATTTAGAGGACTCATTAGGCAAGTAGCTGGCTAGAACAGGATTGTCTGAAAATCCACCACCTCTCCATGATCAGCATCCACCGATTTCCTGGAGCAAAGTGAACCTGTGTGCATCCCTGACAAAGACCCTGGTGCAATTTCTGAGCCTCAAGCACTCTAGCAATGCACAAAATAGTATGTGAACAGAGCCACTTATTTTCAACTACAAGACAAGGTCAAGTAGTACTTACGAGTCTAAATAAGAAGAGAAAGGAAAAAAACAAAAATCTATGCATGCCATCATAACCTGTTACGTACTCCTTTGGAGTCTGCAAAATCCTTCACTGCCCTGTGGTTTTATTAGTCCACAGTATATTCAGAGCTCTAGCTTCTAAAACATTTCAAGTGTACTTACGTAACACAATTAGGACATTATCTTAAAACAACCTCTGTCTCCATTTAGGGCACAATACAGAAGAGTACATTTGGGAGAAGGTTTAGCTTCTCCATTCAACACCGTCTCTCTCCTTCTGTCAGATCCAAATGCAGTCAGCTCACAGCACATCATCTACCACAGCACTTTATCCTCACCACCTCAATATCAGATCACTTCAACAGGCCAGGGACTTATTTTGAAGGTGCCAGACTGCTGTATCACTAGCATTCCTGAAGTGCTTCGCAGTCCAGCCTGCGAGTACAATACACTTAAGTCATTTAAAACAAATCCCCACACAGGAACTTGAAAACCAGGGTGTGTAACCTAGCATGACTCATACAGAGAGCTGTTTTACCACATGTAATGCAGAGACAAGGAGGGAAAGATACCCCTTCTGAGGTAAGAAATTCCTGCTTGATTACAGGATAGTAGCACATTGCCATAATTCCTCCTTTCTGAAGCACAACTGCACAATAAATTTAAATGCCCTAAGCTCTAAAAGACGTATTACTTTCAGCTGCCTTTTCAGGACTCATTAAACAAACCCTCCAAAGCATTATTTCCACTTAGTTTTAAGCATTGTGAACTCTGTGGTTTCTGACAGAGCAAGCACACACAACAGGCCGGTAAGCTGAAAGCAACAAGCTGTGTGGGCCTGGCAAGCTTCAGTAGTGCTGACCTACATGTAGACACCAGCCCTCGACGGGCCCAGTTAACGTTGCTGCTCAACAGCTTCAAGAGTTTAATGTTTTGCTCTTGAATTGATTCAGATAAAAGACCAGAACTGCAAGGTTTGAGTCTTTGTTTTTAGCCAATTGTAATAAACTGTCAGCTGATCTGACCATCAATGGAGTCTCTGTCCCTTCACTGCAGGCTGGTACTGAAGTTTCAGGCTACATGAATAACCAATTGTTACAGAGGTTGCTTTAAGCAGAGTATGTTTTTATAAGGTTATCTACTGTGAAGAAGAATTATAGTTAAAAATGTTTCCTCTCCACTTCAAGTTTTATGTTGATTCCTATTTCATTCCCAAACATTGTGGTAAGATGGCTTTTACAGTCCACTCCTCCTGTCACTTCAGCTCTTCTTGAGAAAGAAAACAGCCCACCCTCTTTCTAAAATCAGAAGTAAATGGACTACAGATTTTATTTTTGTTGAACTTTTATGTCTTTTACCCAAATGCAGCAGCTTTCATGTGTATATGTGAAATGGATTCAGTAACATTAACTGAGGTCTTTACCACTCACAGTGGATATTTTTCATGACTTCTCAGTTTCCTTTTCAACTTCCTTGAAACTGTCTGCCCACAAGGGAAGTGGGATCAGTACAGCCTCACCCATCTTAACGCTCAGGATGCAAGCACTGTACAGATCTCCCATTCTTACCTTAAACGATTCCAGCTCCATTCGCAGACGATTGTTTTCTGACAGCAAGTCTCTGTTTCTGGACTCTGTTTGTTGCAGCTGAGCCTCCAGTTCAGCTTCATACTCTCGACTCCCTTCCTGGAACTCACGCAGTTCCTCCTGTGTAGTCTCAGCACTGAAGAGCAATTTCAGCAACAGAACTTACCACAATGAACCAAGCCATCCTTGCCTGTATACTTGACAAATAAAAAAATCCTGTATATACTGCTCTTCTGCACAAGGATACTCTGCCTCCCTCTCTCTCAACCTACATATTCAAAAGGAAGAAGACTGTTTGCAAATACTTCCCCTGAAGAACAAAACTACAGTAATCTGTACAAGTAGTGTTGGAGAGTCTGGACACTGGTCCAAGAAGGATCTACCAACGCCAGCATCGGACAAGCTTGGAATTTTTTACCCTCTAGCGTGTTTGACTGACATACTGAGCTAAAAAGAAGGGCAAAGCAAGTTCCACCTTAAGCCAGGGCTCTCCACTCAACTAAGCGCTGCCAAACCATCCTTGATCCATACAGATATGTGAAAGATGAAGAGCAGCATCTTTCTGTGATGGCCTGGGTTGTCCATCCCAGCAAGGTTCTGCAGTGTGTTCTATTTACACAGGTCACGCAGAGTGTGGTCAAAAGCACAGAGACAGCAAACACAGTCCAACTCAAACCACAGTGGGATCAAGAAGCAACACTGCTGCAGCAGCAAGCTTCACCGCTCAAATGAGTACACAGGACTCTGACTGATGTAGTTTGTGCAGCCTGTTCCACTACACTGCTACAGCTACCACTCAAGATACCCCATCCGTCTTGAACCTCTCTCCCCATGTGCTGCTATCTGTGTTTTTGCACTCAGCATATACATATTGAACAACTTAAAAGAATGAAATTGCCTTACCACTGCTTATACTTCATAGCCAGTTCCTTCCAGTATCTAGACTCCTCTTCCACTGAGCTGAAGTGATGTCCTTCTGAGTCTTCCATGGCAAGCCTCAGCTGAAGTTAGAAGTGTTTCATTTTCCCTCCTGGAAAACTAAAGGATCAAATGTAAGAGCTAAGGTTCTGTACCAAACTACCTCAGTGGCTTTTTTTGTTCCTGCACAGTGGTGCACTTCTCCTTGAATTAAGTCACTGGATGCCTGGACACCAAATTAAACACCAGCCTTGGCAAGGCCCTATTAGATATGCCATAAAAAGTGAAGTAGTAGTATCTTCCAGCAGAATCTCCCCCACTTTCTGGGCATGCTGCACATAACACAGACGTTAGCCACAATCCCAGATGGGAAGGACACATGCAAGAGAACCACATGGAAATCAAGAGCCTTAAGTTGGTCACTCCTACTTGAAGACTAGACTTGATGCACTCTAATAATGGAATACATCACCAGCAAATATCATTTTATATGAGTAATTCTTGACAACGGAGAAGTATCAGACTTAATGCTCTAGATAATCTTTCCTGTGCAACTCTAGGTGAGGCAACGATTCTACAGTCATTATCAATTTAATAGAAACCTCAATAGATCAAGCACAGTAAATAAAGGTGGAGTCAAATACCATATTAGAGTGACAATTGTCAGAAGCCTAAATTACAAGACTCCAAAGGCTGAAGGAACCTGACAAACCAACTACCCAGTCCCAGCTCTAGATCTACAAAAACAAAACAAATTGAAAACAGCCTCCAGACGTGATCCTGATAGGGTAAAAGGGTAAAGGGAAAACACAGCCAAAGACCTCAGAGAGCCTTTAGATACCAGTCCTGCCTTCTACTTCTCCTGTTTGAATTTTCAGGAAACACTGGAGTAGACCTTCTGAGCTACAGGTCATAGTTAAAGAAAATGCACATCCATACACACTACACTCAATGTACAAAAGTGATTCATAACCTGTGATCACACTTTCCTTTTCTGGAAGCTCTCCGGTTTAAAGACGATTAACAGCCATCTATATCTGGCAACTCTCCTGAGGCAAGCCTTAAAAATTCTTACTTCTAGTGAGGACATCAGTATAAGGTATCTCAAAAAGCCGTGGGAATCTAAAGTCTAATCTTGAAAGATCCAAGCAGTGCTGCCAAAGACAAGTGGCTTTTCACAGCCTAGGTGACTTTTCAGGATGCAAACCAGCAAAGCATAAGTGGCTGTCACAGCTAAGTGGGCTGTGAATAAACATCTATAGGACTGTGCCCAATCCCCTCGAAGCACAGTATCATGCACATGCTTATGAAAATTATATTCGCCTTTAACAGGGAGCTGGAAGGGTAAAGGAAAAGTGACTGCATTTTAGATATCCAATTCAATTTCTTGAGACAAATCATTGGTTAAACAAAGCTACATCTCTTTTCTCATAGCAGATAAGAGCACCACTTTTGACATATTGACATGTTTCCAGCAAGAAGTATCAAGGCTGTCTGTATTTTCAGAAAAAAGGGGAAAGGACAGCAAAAAAGAAGCACAGATTTTCCAAACAGTACCTTTGCCAATTAAATACAAAAAGCAAGATCAAGCACAATTAACACTCCTGACACAAGAGTATTTACTACACATCTACTCTGTCATTTTTAAGCAAACTGAAAGTGCCTTTGATGTTAATAGGCCTACTTAAGGCAGTGTGAACACATTCATCAATCCAGGCAGAAAGCTTCTGAGGAAGACAATTTTCTCTCCTTTACAGATGAGGGACAGGAGGGAGAGTCAGGTGCAAAGAAGGGACACAGTGGCAACAAGAAACCAAGAACGACCAACTTCCATTATAGTGGGCAAAGCACTCCAGAGAAGCAAGGCAGAGTATCCCCAAGACGGTTATTTCTCATCACTTGAAGATACATAGAAAGTTCCTGTTTTCCAAGAATAGAGATTCTACCCAGGGTATGCCCAGCTGGTTACACAAATTAAAACTGACCTCAGAAGTCTCCAAAAGGGAATTCTTCTGGCTGATGCAGGGATTATACTATCACAATGTCTTGTTCAAACAGACAACAGATATAAAAAAAAAAAAAAAATGATGAAGAAATGCAAGTCATCTTGCTCCTGAAAGTGCTCAAAACCAGTTTGTAATCAAAGGACCTGCAGTTAAGAGGGACAGCTCCTGTGGCCCCCAAGGATTTAATATCCTTATAGTTGGGTCTCATTTATCCTTTCACACTGCACTTAGAGCTAAAAGGAGCCAATAGATCTGCCTTCTTTTAAGATTTTAAGTGTCGTATCCAAAAATACATTTGCTAACCGGGCTATAAATTTGAAATGGAGTTAACAGAATCCTGCTAACTTTTAGAGAAGTGTAAAGATGCTGCCCCTTTCTGTTACTCAGTGCCTTTGTAAACACTGATTTAGAAGCCTACACAGATCCGCTCAGGGTAGCGGCCATTAAGAATACACCAGTGCGGAGGGCACATAAGATACGTGACCACAGCTCACCAAGACAAAAAGTGAAAAGAAAAAGGTTATGTTTTGGACAAAGTATTAAAGTTAATTTTTGACCAAACACAAAATCAAAGTCTCAAGTATTTTCTTCCTAACACACCAGTAGAAAGCGTAGGGCTGGATTTTACTTTGTAATTTCCTACCAAGCCAGTTAAAGGTCAAGTGGTGAACGCAGTAGGAAATTACAAAGTTACTGGAAAGTAATTAACAAAACCAATTAGGAAGTTTCCATTGTTTAGGATCAGTACAAAAGAGGGGAGAGAACTGAAGGGGGTTTTAGCACTTTTTAATAGGGCTAATCATACATATATATATGCATAAAATAAAGTAAAAAAGTGTTAAAAAAAAAAAGCAGAGAGAGAAAGCCACAGCCTACGGCATGCACACCCCGGCTGCACCTTAGTTGTTTTTGCACCCAAAAAGGCCAGAAGATACATCTGGCCACACTTCCTGTGTGCAAGCAGCACAAATGCTGGTCATAGACACTACAAAATCTCTACATCATAGAGGAAGTGGAAGTGTTCGTGGGTGAGGAATGGACTTTGGCAACAAGAAAAACACCCTCTGCATGTTTCTTTCAAGATACAGTTTCATAGAAGTAACAGCAGGAGAGTGTGGGGGGGGCGAGGGGGAACAACACATATAACAAGGAATAAAAGGAATTTAAGTTTGAGAATAAGAGTACTGTAACCAGAACTCAACTCTGCCCAGGGTTCACCAAAATCATAAGGATACCAACTCAGATTCTCTTTTTGGTCTAGAATAAAGGAAGGAAAGGAACCCTTCCATGTCAAATACCTCTTCTTTACAGGGGAATATTTTTCACTTGGTGCATAACATTACCCTACTGTTACACTAGGGTCTGTCTCAGAGCAATTTCTAATTTAATAAAATAGTAAAAAGGAAAACAGAAAAATTATTGTAAGAACAAAACAGCATCATAGAACAAACAAAAACCAACACACATTTTGGTCATGGTTCGGAGGATGAGGTTCCTACCAGATACTTTCCTAACTATAAAACCAACAAATGTCCTGAAAAGCAATTTCTCGATATTATAGAAACTAAACCTCTTTAAAACAGTTCCCTTGCAAGGGTGGTCCTGTCCCATAAGGGGACGTTTCCTTTTGTTTAACGCATACACGAGAGAGTCACCCCGAGGGAGAAGGGGAAGGCAGTGGTTCTGGCAAGTGCCCGGGTTACTGCCAAGGCCCGCGGAGGAGCAGGTGTCGCGCCGGGCTCTCCTCCCTCCCACCGCCTGCTCCCGCGCGGCGCTCATCCCCCGGCCACCAGCGCAGCCGCGACAGCTCCCACCCCGAGGTGAATTTCAAGCACTCGCCACCCCGACACGAGTCGCCTCCTGCAACGCCCGACCTTGAGGCCTCCCGCTCTAACCCCCGGGGTCAAAGGGCGGCAGCTCCTCGGGGCTC